TTCTCGGCCACGGTCATTCCCTCCCTTCTCTACGCTTACGAAATGTGGACCCCCCGAATGGAACATCTTCGCCGGTTAGAAACATTCAGGCTGGCCTGCCTACGATCCATCCTGGGTTTAACCAGGCTGGATTGTGTGAGCTCACAAATCCTTCAGAGATCTGGACAAAGTCCCATCGGTGAGCTCCTCCGGCAGGCAAGGCTGCGTTGGCCGCATGCCCAATCGCCGCATGCCTAAACAGCTTTTGTTTGGCCGGATAGAGGGGGCGAAACGGGCGCGGCACAGGCTAGAGAAGAGATGGAGTGATGTGGTACAGGAGGACGTGGAGCTGAGTGGACTTGCCGATGGCTGGTACCAGCGGTGTCAAGATCGGCCTCTGTGTAGGAGGCTCGTGAAGGACGCTACTGGGCAGTTGGAGGCAGTCGCCCTCCCAACAACAACGGAGGGCGGAGGAGCGACGCTCACAACAATGAGCGGAGCGCCGGGTGGCTAAAGCACAGCACGTTGGCACAGCAGGGGGCACATGTGGTGCATCAGCCACTCATCTCAGTCAGTCGACCCGTGGCACCTGGGTCTGTCTCGTGACCTCCTGCCAGCGGCCGTTCGACACTTCACGTGGCCTCAAGGTGCACATGGCCTGGCACAAGCGTCGTGGTGACGTCACCGCCACTTAGTGGCGAATGGCGGTTGTTGTTGTGTATGACTGTGTGTGTTGTGTACATGAGTGAGTGTGTGTTGTGTATATAAGTGTGTGTGTTGTGTATATGAGTGTGTGTGTTGTGTATGAGTTTGTGTTGTGTATATGAGTGCATGTGTTGTGTATATGAGTGCGTGTGTTGTGTATATGAGTGTGTGTGTTGTGTATATGAGTGTGTGTGTGTGTTGTGTATATGAGTGTGTGTGTTGTGTATATGAGTGTGTGTGTGTTGTGTATATGAGTGTGTGTGTTGTGTATATGAGTGTGTGTGTGTTGTGTATATGACTGTGTGTGTGTGTTGTGTATATGACTGTGTGTGTGTTGTGTATATGAGTGTTGTATCAATGTGTATATGAGTGTGTGTGTTGTGTATATGAGTGTTGTATCAATGTGTATATGAGTGTTGTATCAATGTGTATATGAGTGTTGTATCAATGTGTATATGACTGTGTGTGTGTTGTGTATATGACTGTGTGTGTGTTGTGTATATGAGTGTTGTATCAATGTGTATATGAGTGTTGTATCAATGTGTATATGACTGTGTGTGTTGTGTATATGAGTGTGTGTGTTATGTATATAAGTGTTGTATCAATGTGTATATGACTGTGTGTGTGTGTTATGTATATGAGTGTTGTATCAATGTGTATATGAGTGTGTTATTGCGCGCGCGCGCGTTGCCTGCACTCGGGTTTGCGTGTTGTCGCGTGGCGTGTCACGGACTCCACAACATGTTCGTGCACGTTGGTCATACCTCACCGCTGCGGTCACGGCCTAGGAGGCTACTCACGCGCAGCGTAAGGCAACAACGATTCCTTCAACGGGAATTGCCCGCTGAAACGTAACATTTTAATCCGTTCGCGTTTTAAACCGCGGGCAGCAGCTGCAACGACGTTGCAGGGCCGACTCGCGCCTCGGGGAGGACTTCGAGGAGGACTTCGGGGTGTCTGCGAAGGCGTCCCGGTGCGAGATTCCCACCCACCCCCCCATCCACCTACCCACCCCCCCACCCCCCCACCTACCCACCCCCCCACCTACCCACCCCCCAATCCACCCACCCACCCCCCAATCCACCCACCCCACCCAGGAGGTCGTGGGTTCGATCCCGACCCTGACGCCTGCTGCTGTATATTTGGAGTTTGCGTGTCTCTCTCTCATCATCATCACGGTGGCTATGAGATGTTGGCTACCTCGCCTGGTGTACAGGAGGTCGTGGGTTCGATCCCGACCCTGACGCCTGCTGCTGTATATTTGGAGTTTGCGTGTCTCTCTCTCATCATCATCACGGTGGCTATGAGATGTTGGCTACCTCGCCTGGTGTACAGGAGGTCGTGGGTTCGATCCCGACCCTGACGCCTGCTGCTGTATATTTGGAGTTTGCGTGTCTCTCTCTCATCATCATCACGGTGGCTATGAGATGTTGGCTACCTCGCCTGGTGTACAGGAGGTCGTGGGTTCGATCCTGACCCTGACGCCTGCTGCTGCTGTATATTTGGAGTCTGCGTGTCTCTCTCTCTCATCATCATCATCACGGTGGCTATGAGATGTTAACTACCTCGCCTGGTGTACAGGAGGATGAACGTTGAGATTCATAAGGGGCACGGGGTGGACTAATGTCCTGAATGGGTCTGGTAAAAGGTAGGTGTTGACAGGGATGCGAGTGTCGACCGCAGATTTGACGTTGCGCTACGCAGTGTGCGCGGAGAGCGGCGATCGGCGCAACTTACGCTCGGGAAGACAAAGACGGCCGGGCGTGGTTGGTAGGCAGCCACGCGACACAGTGCCGGAGTTCGATTCCCGCTCCCGGCCAACGCCGGCGACGATTATCCGAGCCGGTCCTGGCACCCGCCCTCCTAGGTCGACTCGGCCTCAAATGAATACATGTTGCGGTGTGTAAACATCGTCACTGGGGAGACAAAGGCGGCCGGGCGTGGTGTGCTGGCCACCCACCCCCTTCGTAGATGCCGCTGCTACTCGCTAACAGCACTTGCCCCGACAGTTCTGTGAAGGGTGGGGGGGGGGAGGGGGTTGGGGATCATTTGTCTTTTGTACGCGCCGAGTGTTGTTCAAGCGAGCCCTTGGCACTGCTGATGAGACACCAAAAGGCTTGCTTGTCTTGGACCAATGCCGCTGTGTGTGTGGCCTCTGTGGAGGAGGAGGAGGCTCGTGAAGGACGCCGCTGATGCTACCAGGCCAGTTGGAGGCAGAGGAGCGACGCTCACAACAACGAGCGGAGCGCCGGGCGGATAAAGCGCAGTGGGTTGGCACAGTAGGGGGGCACATGTGGTGGTGCATCAGCCGGTCATCTCAGTCGGCCAACCCATGGCACCTGCTGGGTCTGTCCTGATATCTCCTGCACCTAGCCTGGCACAGTGGGGGGTACAGCTGGTGGTGCATCTACCGGTCATCTCAGTCGGCCAACCCATGGCACCTGCTGGGTCTGTCCTGATATCTCCTGCACCTAGCCTGGCACAGTGGGGGGTACAGCTGGTGGTGCATCTACCGGTCATCTCAGTCGGCCAACCCATGGCACCTGCTGGGTCTGTCCTGATATCTCCTGCACCTAGCCTGGCACAGTAGGGGGGTACAGCTGGTGGTGCATCAGCCGGTCATCTCAGTCGGCCAACCCATGGCACCTGCTGGGTCTGTCCTGATATCTCCTGCACCTAGCCTGGCACAGTAGGGGGGTACAGCTGGTGGTGCATCTACCGGTCATCTCAGTCAGCCAACCCATGGCACCCGCTGGGTCTGTCCCGATATCTCCTGCACCTAGCCTGGCACAGTAGGGGGGTACAGCTGGTGGTGCATCTACCGGTCATCTCAGTCAGCCAACCCATGGCACCTGCTGGGTCTGTCCCGTGACCTCCTGCACCTAGCCTGGCACAGTAGGGGGGTACAGCTGGTGGTGCATCTACCAGTGGTCATCTCAGTCAGCCAACCCATGGCACCTGCTGGGTCTGTCCCGAGATCGCCTGCACCTAGCCTGGCACAGTAGGGGGGTACAGCTGGTGGTGCATCTACCGGTCATCTCGGTCAGCCAACCCGTGGCACCTGCTGGGTCTGTCCCGAGATCTCCTGCACCTAGCCTGGCACAGTAGGGAGGTACAGCTGGTGGTGCATCTACCGGTCATCTCGGTCAGTCGACCCATGGCACCTGCTGGGTCTGTCCCGAGCCCTCCTGTCAGCGGGCGAGCCTTCGACATTTCACGTGGCCTCAAAGTGCACCTAGCCTGGCACAGACGCCGTGGTGACGTCACCGTCACGTGGTGGCGAATGGCGGGTATCGTCGTCTGATGGGATGTGTCAAAAAACAAATGCGGCACGTACCTTTCACGGATACGGGAAAGAGGTAACTGGGTTTTGCAGCTACAAAGCACGCATAACAAATCCTTTAAATCAACAGGAGGATTACATGCCCCCCCCACTTGATATACCTCACAACCCACCTGCCCTGATAACCCCTGATGTTCGTAGCTTTGTTTAAAGGCAAAGGATCCTCCACGTAGCCTGCGAAGCCAGGCGGGGCAAGTGCCAGCTAGCGATGCTACACACCCCCCCCCCCCACGCCCCCCAGGGCGAGACGGTGCATCGTGAACAGCACCGCAAAACCCCGGGGGGGGGGGGGTAGGGAGTGGGGGGGGTCTTTGTCCCCAGCGCTGCTTCGATGTTGGACTCCGGCATGAAGGTGGTGGTCAGAGGCGGCGTCGATCTGTCAGTGGTGGGACCCCGGGGAATCCGTTCAGATAGTCAAAGTCGATGTTTGTTTTTGTTGCCGGGGGGGGGGGGGGGGGGGGGGGGGGGTTGGTGAAGGAACGGAACTTTTGGTTTACCGGGTACCAGAGCCGGATGAAGCTAAGTGTGTGTGGATGCCTGTTGCACCTGTTGTTATAAAGGGGCCCTAAATAATAATAATAATTTAAAAAAACACAAATATTAAAACACTATTTTTTTTTGCTTGCATAGTAAAGTAATCGTATTTTTTTTTCAGCCCAGATAACACGACAAATCGCTCACCTCAAACACCCGGTCGTTCGTAAAAGTCGAAGGCGGTGTGGTACTATAGTAATAGAGCAAGTGCAGAATCACTGAACCGGAATTGATAGCTTAAAAGCGTTTAGCGCGGGGCCCTTGAAAGTGCGGGGCCCGTAGCTACTACTACATGTAGTAGCGACTACACGTGTAGCAGCGACTACACGCGTAGCAGCGACTACACGTGTAGCAGCTACTACACGTGTAGCAGCTACTACACGTGTAGCAACTACTACACGTGTAGCTGCTACACGTGTAGCTGCTACACGTGTAGCTGCTACACGTGTAGCTGAAGTGCTCCCGTCTGGAACGCTCCCGTATGGAACGCTCCCGTCTGAAGTGCTCCCGTCTGGAACGCTCCCGTCTGGAACGCTCCCGTCTGAAGTGCTCCCGTCTGGAACGCTCCCGTCTGGAACGCTCCCGTCTTAAGTGCTCCCGTCTGGAGCACTCCCGTCTGGAACGCTCCCGTCTGGAACCGCTCCCGTCTGGACCGCTCCCGTCTGAAGTGCTCGCATCTGGAACGCTCCCGTCTGGAACGCTCCCGTCTTAAGTGCTCCCGTCTGGAACGCTCCCGTCTGGAACGCTCCCGTCTGAAGTGCTCGCATCTGGAGCACTCCCGTCTGGAACGCTCCCGTCTGGAACGCTCCCGTCTGGAACGCTCCCGTCTGGAACGCTCCCGTCTGGAACGCTTTTCCCCCCTCCCGATATTAGGGAGCCGCTGGGCGAGCTGTGGAACTTTTAAATAATCGAACACTCGATTGTTCATATACATGTTGTGCCAGTAACGAATTGGCCACGTCTTTTTTTACGTGAGACAACTTTACTCATCGGCTGTGTTGGGTGGTGGTGGTAGTGGTGGAAGATTTAACGACGGTACATACTGAGAAGTGCTTTTACAAACTCAGGCCCCTGGCAAAGCAAAGTTTCCTTTTAATGTTTAACTCGTAAGTTTATATTTTTTTGGCTTGACTGAACGTTGCAAAACAACGGCCACAGTTGTTGTTGTTGTTACGAGCCCCAGTGGAGGAGGGTTACGTTGGAGCAGGGACATTGCTGAGGGTCAAATCGGACTTAAGAGCAGGCAGAGCCTTCCGCTCAGCCCATAGACTCAACACTGCACCATAGACTCAACACTGCCCATAGACTCAACACTGCCCATAGACTCAACACTGCCCATAGACTCAACACTCCCCATAGACTCAACACTCCCCATAGACTCAACACTGCACCATAGACTCAACACTGCCCATAGACTCAACACTGCCCATAGACTCAACACTGCACATAGACTCAACACTGCCCATAGACTCAACACTTCCCATAGACTCAACACTTCCCATAGACTCAACACTTCCCATAGACTCAACACTGCACCATAGACTCAACACTGCCCATACACTCAACACTGCACCATAGACTCAACACTATCCCATAGACTCAACACCACTCATAGACTCAACACTGCCCATAGACTCAACACTGCCCATAGACTCAATACTACTCATAGACTCCACTACTCATAGACTCAACACTGCCCATAGACTCAACACCGCCATAGACTCAACACCGCCCATAGATTCAACACTACTCATAGACTCACCACTGCACCATAGACTCAACACTGCCAAATAGACTCAACATTGCCCATAGACTCAACACCACTCATAGACTCAACACTGCCCATAGACTCAACACTGCCCATAGACTCAACACTGCCCATAGACTCAACACTGCCCATACGTATGCAAGACAAAAGGCAGTTGTAAAGAACTGGTGTTTTCAATCGAGACGATTTAAAAGTACACAGCTCCCATTGGCTTCCGAACATATATCGGAAGCAAGAGCGTTCCAGACGGCCGCACTCTCAGCGCACCTGAGGGTGCGTTGATGCGGCGACCGCCGCCTTTGTGTCGACGGCCGAGCCACAGGCCACCACTGCTGCGTCGAGGATGATCGGAGTTTGCGTGATGATGGTTCATCACTCCTTGAAGAGATAGGCAGTGAGGTCATAGCGCTCCGCGTGTTCACGATCGCTCCGTGTGTTCACGATCGCTCCGCGTGTTCACGAGCGCTCCGCGTGTTCACGAGCGCTCCGCGTGTTCACGATCGCTCCGTGTGTTCACGAGCGAGCAGGGCCCCCCGTTGATAATTTCATTCAAACGTTCGTCCAAAAGGAAGCGTGTCGAGAGAGAGAGAGACGATAGTGAGAGAGAGATGCATCCTTGGAAATGCCCCCTGAGCGACAGAAAGAGGAACAGTTTAACACGCAGGAGGCTTTCGCGACCAATTAATATCTCCATATATATAAAAGGCAAAGTTGTGATTGTGTGTGTCTGTTCAAAATGTTTCGCGTACTTCCCGACATGCAACTAACTTGAAATTTGCCATGTGGGTACTTACCAGACTGTGCACCATGCAAACATTATAAAAATACACTTTTTTTTTTAGGGGGGGAGCTCAATAATGCATAGATTTTTTTGCACAGCAAGTGAGCTGTGACGTCAAATCTGTCACGTGACCCTCGCACGTGGAAGCGTAACGCATTGTGGTGTAGTGGTTAGCGCTACGCCGCGCTACGAACCCGGCCACCCGAGTTCGATTCCCGCTCACGGCCACCACCGGTGACGATTATTTGAACCGCTCCTGGGCCTCCCCTAGGTCGACTCGGCCTCAAACGAGTAACTGCTGTGGTGTGTGAACATCGCCACTGGGGAGACAAAGGCGGCCGGGCGTGGTGGATCCAAGTCCCGGGCGAAGCCGGTTAGTACAGCTAGTTCATATTGAGAGTTTTTTTTTGGGGTTAGATCGCGAATTGCCCGATGATGCTGGATGTAATTACCAGCGAAACATTGTACTCCTACTCAAACTGTAAATGTTGTGGATTCACTCTTTAACAACACACCGGTGGGCTAAAGCGGCGAACTATTTTGTCTTTTGTCAACGTGACACTTTTTTTTGCTGATTGGCCGTGTCGGGTGGTGGGAGGGTTACGACAACATTTATAAACAACGCGATCTAACCCAAAAAAAACCCCTTTATCGTGAAGAAAGAGGCACACCCTGGCGATTGGGGAACTATACGAGTCTGGGTCTCTGTAGGTCTCGATGAGAATGGGTGTCTGTGGGTCCGTATGGGTCTCTATGAGTCTCTAGAAACATGCGTTTCGAGTAATTCGGCTACTATGCAGATGCTTGTTTGTTCTCTCGAAGTTAAGCTATCGAAAAACACAAATAAAGCAACGTAAGCAATGCGAATGACTTCGTTTTCATCAGCCACCGCTGTGTATTCATTCTTTGGGTCTTTGGTAAAGTCATGTAGGTCGGAAAACAATAAAATAATAAAATACATACAAAACAATAAAAATTCTCACGATGTTTCGACCATAACAAAAACGGTCGTCATCAGGTGATGATGCGTTATGGTCGAAACGTCGTGAGAATTTTTATTGTTTTATATATTTTATTATTTTATTGTTTCCCTTCAACGTGACTTTACCGAAAGAGCTGAGGATATGAATCACTGCAGTCACGAAAGCTTTCAATCAAAATTAATGTAGATAGGTTAAAAATAAAAAAATAAACTACGACGTTTCGATCACAGCACGAGTGATCGTCAACATACCCCCGTGTGTTTATTTAAAAAAAAATGTTTTAAAGCATCGAGAACCAAAAAGGGGTTGGGGGGTGTTGGATGCAAGTTTTTTTGCAGGCAAGATTCAGAACCCCCCCCCCACTCCCCCCACCTTGGCCGGACGGTAGTCACTGCTGATGATGACTGTGAAAGGGTGGCAGCTGCTCCGTTTGTAACTCGTGCTGCTAGCGAGGCAGGGGGGGGGAGCTTATTGGATCTGTTGGTCATAATTGAGTCTCTGTTTCTTAAATGTCAGCTCAGCTCATTTTTTAAAATTTTTGTTTTGCATATTTGAAATGTTTCCAATGCCATTCACTGCTACGGGCGCACGCTAACGTTAGACGGGCGGTGGTGAGTAGATCTGCCTACTGGTGGTGGTGGTTGTGGTGGTTGTGGTGGTTGTGGTGGTGGTTGTGGTGGTTGTGGTGGTGGTGGTTGTAATGGTAGTTGTGGTGGTTGTGGTGGTGGTTGTTGTGGTGGTTATGGTGGTGGTTGTGATAGTGGCTGTGGTGGTGGTTGTGATGGTAGTTGTGGTGGTGGTGGTGGTTGTGATAGTGGTTGTGGTGGTGGTTATGGTGGTGGTGGTTATGGTGGTGGTTGTGATGGTAGTTGTGATGGTGGTTGTGGTGGTGGTTGTGATGGTGGTTGTGATGGTAGTTGTGGTGGTGTTTGTGGTGGTGGTTATGCTAATGGTTATGCTGGTGGTTGTTGTGGTGGCTGTGGTTGTAGTTATGGTAGTGGTTGTGGTAGTGGTTGTGGTGATAGTTATGGTTGTGGTAGTGGTGGTAGTTATGGTTGTTGTTGTGGTGGTAGTTATGGTAGTGGTTGTGGTAGTGGTGGTAGTTATGGTTGTGGTAGTTATGGTAGTGGTTGTTGTGGTTGTGCTGGCCACTGCGCTACGAACCTGGCGTCCCCGAGTTCGATACCCGCTCACGGCCACCACCACCACCAAGCGACAATTATCTGAACCGGTCTCTGGGCCTAGGTCGACTCGGCCTCAAATGAGTTACCTGGTGCAGCCGTGTGCAGTCGGAAACATCGCCGCTTGGGGGGGGGGGGGGTAGGGGGGATACAAAGGCGGCCGGGCGTGGTTTCTGGCCACTCCACCCCCCTCCTTCGTGTACCACAGTGCCAGCAGCCTTCATAGGCTGCTGCTGCTGCTGCTGCTACTCGCTAACAGCCAATTGCCCCCGGACGGTCCGCTGAGACCGTGCGAGGGATCTTCGTCTTTGCTTGAAGAGGGCTCGCGATGGGGGGGAATGCCACCTCGCGACGAAGTGAGATGAATAAATTGACGATTTTAGGGCGCCGCTGGCGAGAGTAACGGTGAGAGTTCCGCCGGCATTTGCCTGCGAGTGACCTCGATGTGGGGGGGGTGGGGGGGGGGGGCATGTGAGTTCAGTTCCCGGCCAGGCTTCCACTTTGCTCAGCATCATCAGAATCAGCATCATCATCGTCGCCGGCTTCACAAATCGTGCACGTTTGCATCACGTGCGTGATGACAATCAACTTCACTGCGCTTGAGAACCCGGTTGAAACGCAACTCAGTCTGTTAGTCCGTGAGATCTCCATGGGACTCCGTCTGAGTCTACGGGTCTCTGTGTGAGTCTACAGGTATATTTGTGAGTCTGTGGGTCTCTGTGTGAGTCTACAGGTATATTTGTGAGTCTATGGGTGTCTGTGTGAGTCTACAGGTATATTTGTGAGTCTGTGGGTCTCTGTGTGAGTATATGGGTGTCTGTTAGTCTGGATCTCTGAGTCTATGGGTGTCTGTGTAAGTCTATGGGTCTCTGAGTCGATGGGTCTCCGAGTCTGGGTGTCGCTGTGCGAGTCTCTGGGTCTCTGAGTATATGGGTCTCTATGCGAGTCTACGGGTCTCTATGTGAGTCTACGGGTCTCTATGTGAGTCTACGGGTCTCTATGCGAGTCTACGGGTCTCTATGTGAGTCTACGGGTCTCTATGCGAGTCTACGGGTCTCTATGCGAGTCTACGGGTCGCTATGCGAGTCTATGGGTCTCTATGTGAGTCTACGGGTCCTCTGCGCGGGTCTATGGGTCTCTATGCGAGTCTACGGGTCTCTATGCGAGTCTACGGGTCTCTATGCGAGTCTACGGGTCTCTATGCGAGTCTACGGGTCTCTGTGCGAGTCTACGGGTCTCTGTGCGAGTCTACGGGTCTCTATGCGAGTCTACGGGTCTCTATGCGAGTCTACGGGTCTCTGTGCGAGTCTACGGGTCTCTATGTGAGTCTACGGGTCTCTATGCGAGTCTACGGGTCTCTATGTGAGTCTACGGGTCTATATGCGAGTCTACGGGTTACTCTGCGAGTCTACGAGTCTCTATGCGAGTCTACAGGTCTCTATGCGAGTCTACAGTGAGGGAAAAAAGTATTTGATCCCCTGCTGATTTTGTACGTTTGCCCACTGACAAAGAAATGATCAGTCTATAATTTTAATGGTAGGTTTATTTGAACAGTGAGAGACAGAATAACAACTAAAAAATCCAGAAAAACGCATGTCAAAAATGTTAGGAATTGATTTGCATTTTAATGAGGGAAATAAGTATTTGACCCCCTCTCAATCAGAAAGATTTCTGGCTCCCAGGTGTCTTTTATACAGGTAACGAGCTGAGATTAGGAGCACACTCTACTACACCCACCCACACACGTGCGTACGTGCTTAGTGGCGAATGCGTTGTCTGTGTTGAAACATAAACGCGCTCGAATCCCCAAACGCGTCGAAAGACACGGGCGGGCGGGCGGTCTGTCTGTATGAAGCCTTTTAAACGTGAACATTTTTTAAAAAAGATTTCTCTTAAATTAAATAAAAAACACATCTTCACATTTCACACGTCACTAGCTTTTTTTAAATTTAACCCGCGAGCCCGCTTCTGCGAGCACCAGCGTGACGAAGAACGGAACGTTTACAAACGGGGGAAAGAAATTTAACGAAAATGAAATACAATTTCATATGAGCAGGAGGCAATGCCAAGGCCGAGTAAAAAGGTTCAGCAGCTCGCAATCAAACAGGGGCCAAGTTCCATTTCATCTCCAGACAGCGAGCAAAATAAGTAATGATTTTTAAAAATAAACTTTTTTTAAAAAAACACGCTTTCATGAAATGTACTAAAAAGTTAAAAATAGATCGATCGTCACGTGGTAAACATGAATGTACTGTCGTAATGGAACAACTCCAGGAAGTGACCCCGAAGCTTGCCACAACGTAACGGACCGTGGACAATTAAACATATAAAGAATGTTTTTAAAATATATATTTTTTTTGATGGAATATAATATTGTCATCGGTATGACATAAGTATAACAGGTTTGCAGTCGATACCACATTGGGAAGTGGGTTAAAATTGAGTTACAAGATTTGAGGATACAACAACGACAGATATTCTTAGCTCTTTCGGTAAAGTCACGTTGAAGGGAAACAATAAAATAATAAAAAACAATTAAATATATTTTATTATTTTATTGTTTCCCTTCAACGTGACTTTACCGAAAGAGCCAAGAATATGAATTACTGCAGTCACGAAAGCTTTAAATCAAAACAACGACAGAGTTAAATAAAAGCGTGTAAAGTAATAATAATAACAAGTAAACCCATCAAAAACCGTTCTGTCTCTGTGCCCGAGGGCCTTCAGTTGGTGTTGCCGTGAGTTTAGAACCCCCACGGTATCTTTAAAAAAAATAACTCCTTTAAAAAAGTGTTTATTTTTTTAAACAACGGTTTTATTAACAACTTTGTTTAAGAATAGGTTTTACCCTTTAACTGGCACAAAAACTGACACCTTTATTCAAGGCATCATGTTTGCAATAACCACAACACAAGCAGTCAAAATGCAAACAAAAAAAGACAACTCTGATAATAATATTGGCACTGTCCTTGAATTTGATTGGTCCACACCCGAGACGGCTTTTCTTAGAGCCTAGTCTCCACTGGTGTTGGACCAGAAGACGCCAAAAGGCGTACAACTCAAAAACAGCGCACTATCAGAGTATTGAGGGCTCGGGGTGAGCATTTACATTTTGAGACCTCCTTTGTCAGTAACAAGATATAGTAATAGGTTTTACCCTTTAACTGGCACAAAAACTGACACCTTTATTCAAGGTGTCAGTTGTGGTTATAAATAATAAGGCGTCCATACAAAATGTTAATTGCTTGAAAGGAGGCGGCAATTAATTGACGAATCTATGCCGATTTTCATACAGGCGTGCATTGTCGCCGGACCCTGAGCACGTGTGCAAAAAAAAATTGCAATTGATTTGACAACAGGAAGTAGACGAACTTCCGATTACAATATTTGATCACGACAAACACAGGGTGAAGTTAAATAAAACCGTTGAAAAAAAAAGTGATTTTATTTTTTTAATTATTGTGGCCAGGCGAAGGTGCCACTAGGCTGCTACGTGGTTCTTTTTTTTACTGAAGCGACCCTGTGTGTCCACACATGGTGGGCCGACGGAGTGGGCTTATATCATCGTCCAGTGGAAACCCACAGCAGCAGCAGCCAAAAATGCTCTAAACTCGTCTGTGGTGATTTTTTTTAAACGTGGAGGGAAAAAAAAAGGAGGACCCGGAGAAAAGTCCATGCGGTACGGAGTGTGGTATGGAGTGTGGTAGGGAGTGTGGTACGGAGTGTGGTAGGGAGTGTGGTACGGAGTGTGGTAGGGAGTGTGGTACGGAGTGTGGTAGGGAGTGTGGTACGGAGTGTGGTATGGAGTGTGGTAGGGAGTGTGGTACGGAGTGTGGTACGGAGTGTGGTACGGAGTGTGGTAGGGAGTGTGGTAGGGAGTGTGGTATGGAGTGTGGTAGGGAGTGTGGTACGGAGTGTGGTAGGGAGTGTGGTATGGAGTGTGGTAGGGAGTGTGGTAGGGAGTGTGGTACGGAGTGTGGTACGGAGTGTGGTACGGAGTGTGGTAGGGAGTGTGGTATGGAGTGTGGTTGGGAGTGTGGTACGGAGTGTGGTAGGGAGTGTGGTACGGAGTGTGGTAGGGAGTGTGGTACAGAGTGTGGTACAGAGTGTGGTACGGAGTGTGGTACGGAGTGTCGTTGGGAGTGTGGTTGGGAGTGTGGTATGGAGTGTGGTATGGAGTGTGGTAGGGAGTGTGGTATGGAGTGTGGTAGGGAGTGTGGTATGGAGTGTGGTATGGAGTGTGGTACAGAGTGTGGTACGGAGTGTGGTAGGGAGTGTGGTATGGAATGTGGTAGGGAGTGTGGTACGGAGTGTGGTACGGAGTGTGGTACGGAGTGTGGTACGGAGTGTGGTAGGGAGTGTGGTACGGAGTGTGGTACGGAGTGTGGTACGGAGTGTGGTAGGGAGTGTGGTACAGAGTGTGGTACGGAGTGTGGTAGGGAGTGTGGTAGGGAGTGTGGTATGGAGTGTGGTACAGAGTGTGGTACGGAGTGTGGTACGGAGTGTGGTACGGAGTGTGGTAGGGAGTGTGGTACGGAGTGTGGTATGGAGTGTGGTAGGGAGTGTGGTATGGAGTGTGGTACGGAGTGTGGTAGGGAGTGTGGTACGGAGTGTGGTCCGCACCGCCGACAAATTGTTTCCGTGCCACGGTTGGCGGGACTCCTCGGTGGCTCATCTCGTTGTGCCGGAGAGGCCGGTTTCATCACAATGTCTCTTTGTCTGACGCGTCGACGTTCAGTCTGTGATATAATCATGGGGGGTGCGGGGGGGTGGGGGTCTGCGTTAAAGCTGCGTGAGTCTGTGGGTCTCTGTGTGAGTCTGTGGGTCTCTGTGTGAGTCTGTGGGTCTCTGTGTGAGTCTATAGGTCTCTGTGTGAGTCTACGGGTCTCTGTGTGAGTCTATGGGTCTCTGTGTGAGTCTGTGGGTCTCTGTGTGAGTCTGTGGGTCTCTGTGTGAGTCTATAGGTCTCTGTGTGAGTCTATGGGTCTCTGTGTGAGTCTATAGGTCTCTGTGTGAGTCTACGGGTCTCTGTGTGAGTCCATGGGTCTCTGTGTGAGTCTATGGGTCTCTGTGTGAGTCTGTGGGTCTCTGTGTGAGTCTATGGGTCTCTGTGTGAGTCTGTGGGTCTCTGTGTGAGTCTATAGGTCTCTGTGTGAGTCTATGGGTCTCTGTGTGAGTCTGTGGGTCTCTGTGTGAGTCTATGGGTCTCTGTGTGAGTCTGTGGGTCTCTGTGTGAGTCTATAGGTCTCTGTGTGAGTCTATAGGTCTCTGTGTGAGACTTCGGGCCCCTGTGTGAGTCTATGGGCTCTCTGTACAAGTCTGTGGGTCTCTGTGTGAGTCTGTGGGTCTCTGTGTGAGTCTGTGGGTCTCTGTGTGAGTCTATAGGTCTCTGTGTGAGTCTATGGGTCTCTGTGTGAGTCTGTGGGTCTCTGTGTGAGTCTATGGGTCTCTGTGTGAGTCTATAGGTCTCTGTGTGAGTCTGTGGGTCTCTGTGTGAGTCTGTGGGTCTCTGTGTGAGTCTATGGGTCTCTGTGTGAGTCTGTGGGTATCTGTGTGAGTCTATAGGTCTCTGTGTGAGTCTGTGGGTCTCTGTGTGAGTCTATGGGTCTCTGTGTGAGTTTATGGGTCTCTGTGTGAGTCTATATGTCTCTGTGTGAGTCTATGGGTCTCTGTGTGAGTCTATGGGTACTCTGTGTGAGTCTGTGGGTTTCTGTGTGAGTCTGGGTCTCTATGTGAGCCTGTGGCTCTCTGTGTGAGTCTGTGGGTCTCTATGTGAGTGTTATGGGTCTCTGTGTGAGGGTTATGGATCTCTATGTGAGTCTATGGTTATGTGTGTGTGAGTCTGTGGGTCTGTGTGTGAGTCTATAGCTATCTCAGCGTGAGTCAGTGGTGTGTCATCTGGCCCGAAACCATCAACCCGCTTCCCTTGAGCACCCCGGTTCAATCACAGCGGTCGACTGAAACCCCGTGGCTTGTGACTCAGAATCTCTGCGCCTTTGACTCGGCCATTATGAACCACCAACCCCCCCCCCCCTTCCCCACCGAGGTCACTCCTCCACCACCATCCCCCCCCCCCCCCCCCCACATTTCCGTGCAACACTTCGGCTAAATTTGCGTGGTTGTTTTCCATAGTTGCCCCCTCGAGTGCACCAGGGGTCCGTGGAAAGCGTGACCAAGTTCACGCCGCTTCCTTTAACGCACAGACACAGCTGCTGGAGGCCACTTCCCCCGTGTGGGTCACCCTGCACGGGGGCCCGCCAGGGTGTGCCCGGAGGTGTTGACCACCTGGCCCTGGTGTGTAACCAGGAGGTGTTGACGACCTCGCCTGGGGTGTAACCAGGAGGTGTTGACGACCTCGCCTGGGGTGTAACCAGGAGGTGTTGACGACCTGGTGTGTAACCAGGAGGTGTTGACCACCTGGCCCTGGTGTGTAACCAGGAGGTGTTGACGACCTCGCCTGGGGTGTAACCAGGAGGTGTTGACGACCTCGCCTGGGGTGTAACCAGGAGGTGTTGACGACCTGGTGTGTAACCAGGAGGTGTTGATGACCTCGCCTGGTGTGTAACCAGGAGGTGTTGACGACCTGGTGTGTAACCAGGAGGTGTTGACCACATGGTGTGTAACCAGGAGGTGTTGACGACCTCGCCTGGTGTGTGCCAGGAGGTGTTGACCACCTGGTGTGTAACCAGGAGGTGTTGATGACCTCACCTGGTGTGTAACCAGGAGGTGTTGACGACCTGGTGTGTAACCAGGAGGTGTTGACGACCTGGTGTGTAACCAGGAGGTGTTGACGACCTCACCTGGTGTGTAACCAGGAGGTGTTGATGACCTCACCTGGTGTGTAACCAGGAGGTGTTGACGACCTCGCCTGGGGTGTAACCAGGAGGTGTTGACCACATGGTGTGTAACCAGGAGGTGTTGACGACCTGGTGTGTAACCAGGAGGTGTTGACGACCTCGCCTGGTGTGTAACCAGGAGGTGTTGAGCACCTGGCCCTGCTGTGTAACCAGGAGGTGTTCACCACCTGGTGTGTAACCAGGAGGTGTTGACGACCTGGTGTGTAACCAGGAGGTGTTGACCACCTCGCCCTGCTGTGTAACCAGGAGGTGTTGACCACCTGGTGTGTAACCAGGAGGTGTTGACGACCTCACCTGGTGTGTAACCAGGAGGTGTTGACGACCTGGTGTGTAACCAGGAGGTGTTGACCACCTGGCCCTGGTGTGTAACCAGGAGGTGTTGACGACCTCGCCTGGTGTGTAACCAGGAGGTGTTGATGACCTGGCCTGGTGTGTAACCAGGAGGTGTTGACCACCTGGTGTGTAACCAGGTGGTGTTGACGACCTCACCTGGTGTGTAACCAGGAGGTGTTGACGACCTCACCTGGTGTGTAACCAGGAGGTGTTGACCACCTGGTGTGTAACCAGGAGGTGTCGACGACCTCGGCTGGTGTGTAACCAGGAGGTGTTGATGACCTGGCCTGGTATGTAACCAGGAGGTGTTAACCACCTCGCCTGGTGTGTAACCAGGAGGTGTTGACGACCTCGCCTGGTGTGTAACCAGGAGGTGTTGACGACCTCGCCTGGTGTGTAACCAGGAGGTGTTGACCACCTGGTGTGTAACCAGGAGGTGTTGACGACCTGGGGTGTAACCAGGAGGTGTTGACCACATGGTGTGTAACCAGGAGGTGTTGACGACCTGGTGTGTAACCAGGAGGTGTTAACCACCTCGCCTGGTGTGTAACCAGGAGGTGTTGACGACCTCGCCTGGTGTGTAACCAGGAGGTGTTGACCACCTGGTGTGTAACCAGGAGGTGTTGACCACCTCGCCTGGTGTGTAACCAGGAGGTGTTGATGACCTCGCCTGGTGTGTAACCAGGAGGTGTTGACGACCTGGTGTGTAACCAGGAGGTGTTGACGACCTCGCCTGCTGTGTAACCAGGAGGTGTTGAGCACCTGGTGTGTAACCAGGAGGTGTTGAGCACCTCGCCTGGTGTGTAACCAGGAGGTGTTGACGACCTGGTGTGTAACCAGGAGGTGTTGATGACCTCGCCTGGTGTGTAACCAGGAGGCGTTGACGACCTGCTGTGTAACCAGGAGGTGTTGACGACCTCACCTGGTGTGTAACCAGGAGGTTTTGACCACCTGGTGTGTAACCAGGAGGTGTTGACGACCTGGTGTGTAACCAGGAGGTGTTGACCACCTGGCCCTGGTGTGTAACCAGGAGGTGTTGACGACCTCACCTGGTGTGTAACCAGGAGGTGTTGACGACCTGGTGTGTAACCAGGAGGTGTTGATGACCTGGTGTGTAACCAGGAGGTGTTGACCACCTGGCCCTGGTGTGTAACCAGGAGGTGTTGACGACCTCGCCTGGTGTGTAACCAGGAGGTGTTGACGACCTCGCCTGGTGTGTAACCAGGAGGTGTCGACGACCTCGCCTGGTGTGTAACCAGGAGGTGTTGACGACATCGCCTGGTGTGTAACCAGGAGGTGTTGACGACCTCGCCTGCTGTGTAACCAGGAGGTGTTGATGACCTCGCCTGGTGTGTAACCAGGAGGTGTTGACGACCTCGCCTGGTGTGTAACCAGGAGGTGTTGACGACCTGGCCCTGGTGTGTAACCAGGAGGTGTTGAGCACCTCGCCCTGGTGTGTAACCAGGAGTGCAGCGCCACATTAAACACGCGCTACAATGACAATAGTTTAAAGCGATTTGAAGCATGTTTTATATTTATATTTTTTGGAGGTGGGCAGAGCTTTGTGACGTCATATTTGAGGCGGGATCTGACTCTTTGTGACGCCGTGTGACGAAGGGGGGGGGGGGTGGGGGGTCAAAAATCGTCCAAAATCGCGTGACGTCATTTATGGACGGCCCCTTAACAGCTCTTGCCCCCAACAGCCTGCGTGGGCTACACGGGGCATCTTTGTCATTGGAGAAACCAAACGCCATGTCTCGGACCGCATTCGTGAACACAAAGCAGACCTTAAACACGGTAGGACCAACACCTCGGCCGTGGCAGATCATTGTTATAATTCAGTAGGCTCACATGCCATTGACTTTTCCAAGACAGAGGTTCTTTGTAAGCCATCTGGCTACCATGAGAGATTCGTTCATGAGGCTATCCACATATACACATACACACAGAGACAATTTCAACCGAGAAGATGGATTCTGGCTTAGCAATCATTGGAAAGATTTGATAAAGCATTTCAGGTCTTAATTGATTGTTCACGCTTACGGTGGCTTTCAGACAGCATGCATTAATTTTTCGTCTCCCCCCTCCTCTTTTCAGAACATAGTTGGACTCGTCCTTCTAAACAAACTGCCAAATCGCTGCACGTGACGCTGACGTTTTTTATTTATAAATAAATACACCGGTTAAAAATAAATAAATTAATGCAAACCGACACACCTGATGACGACCGTTTGCGTTATGGTCGAAACGTCGTGAGAATTTTTATATTGTTTTATATATATTTTATTATTATTTTATTGTTTCCCTTCAACGTGACTTTACCGAAAGAGCCAAGAATATCTTTATCTTTGTTCGCTTTGGCACGCTTGACCCGGCTCTGTTCCGATTGGTCCATCGGCGGCGTGGCGTCATCGGTCACGAGACAAACAATTCTCGGGGAACGCTCCGTGGAAGTGGACACCGCAGAGCCACATCTGAGATGCCT